TGGAAACTGTTACTGAACCTGAAGTTGATGTTGAAGCTGCTTATGATGCTGAATTTGATGGTGTAGCTGAAGTTGATGGTTTAGGCCTTCGAATAATAAAGCTCTCGAAAGAACCTTGCACAGCTGCTTTCTTTTCTCATTATACACCTTTATGTAGAGGTCATTTGCATTTTTCACGCCCCTGTTAATTTTAATGATTCGTTCTGTTAATGGATCCACTTCAGAAAATAAGTTCATTGCTTGCTCCATAACATTTTAACACATCTAGTTTCTCAGCTAAGCTTATACACTTTCTTTTATCTTTTGAACCAGCACTACCATCACTTGCTCTCTTGCTCATGTTGAATAGCGACGCAAAACTGATGTAAGAATTCTGAGAATGTTTTTCTCCTTTTCCTATTCAGATACATGAAAACAAAGGGCCCTTCAAGCTCAGACTATTTATACTGGTGATGCTGGCATCACCACTCACAAGCCTGGCAGCCTCCGTGTGGAAGGCGTTTTTTTAATACATATCGGGATTTGGTTATTATTTTTATAAAATTTTAATATAATTTTATTTTTTTATTCTATTTTCGTCATAAATATGAAAAAAAATAATGGTGTAAATTGAATTGGGTCCTAAATTAACCAGGGTCTTAAATATGAATCGTTGTTAGTAGAACCGTCGTTATCAGAGGCTTTACTGTACAGTATGCACTTTTCTATATGCCTAGACACAACAAAGGTAAACAGTAAGGCAATTAGACAAAAGGTAGCTGCCAAATCTGTCAGCTGCTTACTGGTATTTCCAGGAGGTTTCTTTAAGTACTTCATGATTTCAATGGATATTAATAGTTATGAACTTGTACTTGACAGGGAAGAGTCGTGATAAGCTGGGAGCAACCCAAGGAAGAAATGGTCGCCTACCGCTCTTTCCAGCCTTTCATACCACTACTGACAGCCCTCAACATGCACCAGGTTCAGCTGTGGGCGGTGTGGGCTTTACATCATGTAACAACCAAAAATAGTAAGTGTTGAACTATTTCAAGTTTTAACTGTTGTTAAACTTGGCTCTTTTTAGACGGCTGGTGGAAGATGAGGTTCTCAGTGATGAAGGTCATCTTCTTATGATATAAATCATGATTTTCTTTGTTCTTGCTTATGTAGAGGACTTCTCTTTTTCTCCAGGGATTAGCCCACTCTGGCACAGGTCACTGATCTATGTCGGGGGCCTGGTGGGGGGTAGGAGGAATAAATAAATTGAACCATAAAAAAATAAAAATAAATAAATCAAGATTGAGAAATTATTTATAGATTTTGTTGTCAAAGTAAGAGAAACAATTGAGACCCTGCAATTGTGTGTAAATGAGGCAGAAAGTTAGATCATCAACCTGGGACTTGGTCACATATGGCAGCAGGGTCTACCATTAGACAACACATTATGCTTCCAATATCTTCTCAGGCTGTAGTACCTCCCTATTTGGTAGCTGCCTACTGTACTACCTACTGATAACTTAATGCTTGTTTCACTCTACAGTGCTTATGCAGAGCCAACCACATCTCTGGGTTGAAAACACTGGTTGCAGCCAACCACTGCAAACTGGAACTTAATAAAATCATGAGAAATGAATATTGTATTTCTTACGTTTTAGCCTCGCCCTGAATTTAGCGGGAAGGATCATGGTAATAACTATTGAGTTTGTCTAACATGTGAGAGTTGTGTTCCAGAATAAGTTTGCATAAACCTAGTGCATAAAACGTACTATAAATGTTAAGGATATTGAGGAAATAATGAAATCCTTGATGTCTGATATTAAGATCTGGATGGCTAGGTAGAAAACGTATGCTGAAAGACAGCAGCACCGAGATTATTGTCATTCAAGAAACTAGTCGACGAGACGGCACTGATGATTTTTGCTCTCTAAACTTTTGGGAAGTACAACTCAGTCCTGTTGATTCTGTTCATACTCTTGGAGTGTACAGTGCAGTAGTTTGACTTAAAACTTAATTTTAAAGAGCATATAAATTCAGTAGTTAAGAGTCACAACTTTCTTATTTGAAATTATCCAAATTTTGGATAGACAGTGTCTTGTGACTCTATTACTTTCACTTATATTGTCTCAGGCTGACTATTGTAACTCTCTATGGGTCTTCCTACCTAATTATCTACAGAAGAAAGCTCAAACAGTGTTGAGCAGGGTTGCCAGGCTTATTTTTGCTCTCCCACTGAGAACTCCCACCACCCCGTTCTTGATCAAATTACATTGTCTTCCTATTAAAGCTAGGATAGAGTTCAAACTCTGTTTAATGACTTTTAAGACACTAACGTTTGGTATTTGGCCAACCTACTAATTCCTCTGAGTATACATTCTGAAATGCACTTGCTGCCTCTTCACTCACCTTTACACTATGCAAACTGTAGCAGTTCTTAAACCTTTGGAACCACCCATGACTTGCCGTGAAGGTTTGGTCGCTCACATCTCCTGCCTGCTCCTTCAGGCTTTCGAAAAGGCTACTTGCCTTAACCTGTAGGGGTTAGAAGGCTTAAGGGTACACGCTTTTGTATCTGATCTTCTATCCATATCACAAGTAAATTTTCCATCTCATAAATAGGACCTTGTCTTTTCTTCGTTATTATAGTTCCCTTTATAGGTGCTGATCCTTTCACTACCTCGTGAATACGTTCCTTGTCCTTCAAAATACTGTAGTAGATATGATCAAGTGCGAGAAGCCTAGGTCGCAAGAAATGGTTGCTACTGTTCTTCCATTTTCATACTGTATTATTATCTTCATTTTCGTCTCAAAAGTAATTGACTGTCTCCTTTTCTTCTGAGCACCACCAGCACTGTCACTTCTACGCTTGCCAGTCATTCTAAAGTGAATTAGATACGAAAGTAATGTCAGTACGCAGCGCGATCACTATCGACAACAACGACAGCCAAACACCAGCTTAGCGCTCTACGGTGTGGGTGCTGTAGCCACGAGGCGGAAGAAAATACTCACGTCTTTTGAAAAATTATTGGTACCGACTGCGGCAGTCATATGTGCGGGTGGTCATAGGTCGAGTATGTCGTAAGTCGAGGAGTATGTAGTGGACGTCTCCCCTACAACTGCGTAGCTGCATGCCACCTGCTACGTCTTCCCTAGCAACCAAACGAGCGGCCCAGGGGGGGGGGCGTCACCAGATGCCACAGTATCCTAGCAACGGAGCCAAAAGACCGGCTACTTCCCGGGGTTTCCCACCATGGCTCACGGCTGACTCACGGCTGCTGTGTATATAAGCTCTGTCTCTCCATTGAGATTCATTCTGCTCTCGGTTCCTGAACACGCAACACCTCCTCCAAGCAAGCTCCTCGCTGTCCCGTTCTCATTCAACCTGGAGGCCAGCAACAGGCAACATCTTCTCTAACGAAGCTCCTGCACCTCTACCTCCTTCAACACGCTACTCACCGAACGTGCCTACTGAGCAGCTCCTCACCACACGGCACCTCCAGCACCAGACTGTCTATCATATAACTTATATTATACAAGAAAACCACCTTAGAGTTTCCATCCATCCTGAGTGCTAGACAACATTATACCACGAAACCCTACAAATGGTGACCCCCGGAGATTCGCACTCACACAGGATGGAGGAGAAACTGATCAAGCTCCCAGTCTTCAAGCAGCATAGAAGACTGGCTTATCGCGAAACCCTACAAATGGTGACTCCCGGAGATTCGCACTCACACAGGATGGAGGAGAAACTGATCACGCTCCCAGTCTTCAAGCAGCATGGAAGACTGGCTTATCACGAAATCCTACAAGTAGCTGTACAGTATATGTATATATACAGTGGGCCCTCGGTTAACGAACGATTCGATTAACGAAATTTCGGTTAACGAATTTCTACCCAGAAAGGATCTTCAGTTCGGTTAACGAACAAAACTTTGATTAACGAAATCCTTACGAATAACACGTTTTGTTGTGAGCATCAGCTGATTGGCTAGTCTGCCAATGCAGTACAGGTACTGCAGGGTTAGGGACCGACATCCAGGTCGTAAGTCGGAAATGCAGTTGTACCCCACTTAACGCGGTCAATTGAGGTCAATTGAACCCAGAGGGTCCCGTGTTAAGTGAAATCCCCGTTAAGTGAACAACAGAACATATGGGATTAATTCCAATAGAAACCGGCCCGACCCCCAAACTCCACTTTTTGAAGGCACATACCTATGTTGTAGTAAAAATAACATCTTAATTTTATGATGGTACATGCACACAATTAATACTTAAGAGAAATAGAGAAATACAGTCGCCAAGTTAATGTCCATTCAAATAATGGACTCAACCTTGCCTCCCCCCCTCTTCCAACCGCGCGGTCAGTCCCAACCCTCCCCCCCACCCCCCACCAATCCTCCCTTCCAGGGTTTTTAACATTTAGTATTAAATAATACCTCAGATTAAAGTTAGGATAATATAATTGACATTGCTGGATTCCTTGTAAGACCAGGAATATTTTGAATATAAATGTCATATATTTTGCACAAAAGATAACATAGTTAATTTGAGAAAAATTTTTATCTAAAATTTGTATGTCTAATGCAAAAATATGATGTTTATATTCAAAATGATCATCAAATTATAAGAATTCCAGCAATGTAAATTATATTCAGACCGGGTAATTTGTATGAATTTTATGAGCTAAAACAAATATCTTCAGTTAATAAAAAAAAAAATAATTCTTCACAGGGTAACAGATGGTCGGTCGGTCCCTCCCTCCCCCCACCAACCGTCCCAAGGAGATGTGTGGGATAACCACTAAATTTTAATAAATAATACCTCAAACTAAAGTTAGGATAATATAATTGACATTGCTGGATTCCTTGTAAGACCAGGAATATTTTGAATATAAATGTCATATATTTTGCACAAAAGATAACATAGTTAATTTGAGAAAAATTTTTATCTAAAATTTGTATGTCTAATGCAAAAATATGATGTTTATATTCAAAATGATCACCAAATTATAAGAATTCCAGCAATGTAAATTATATTCTGGCCGGGTAATTTGTATGAATTTTATGAGCTAAAACAGGCAGTCAGGCAGGGTGGGGCAAATCTAAAAATAGCATCTCGAGCCGGACTCTCACCGCGTATATGTGGAAAAAATCCGTGTTAAGTGAAAGTTCAGCTCTGGCGAGGCACCGCGTATATGATAAAACGCGTTAAGTGAAACCGCGTTAGGCGGGGTAATACTGTGCTTAAATAACACATAGAAATTCGAAAATGTGGGTCTCTTTTTCTTCCCAGCACCACAAAACACTCACTTTTAAGCTTGCCAAGCATTTTAAAGTGAATTACAGATGAAAAATTTTGTCTGTGTACTGACTTTGGGATTCAAAAATACATAATTTGACCACATTTTGGTACGACTAAGCCGGTCGTAAGTGCGGGTGGACGTAAGTCGAGTCGGTCGTAAGTCGGGGACTACCTGTAATCTGTTCTATGTTTACATTCGTTTCCAGTGGAGTAAATATCAAGAAAGTTGTAATAAAAAAATATTTTTGCATTTTTTATATTATAATTATTCGTCATTTTAAAATTTAGTTAACATATTGATAATACAGTGGTGCCTCGGTTAACGAATGCCTCGGTTAACGAAACTTCAGTTAACAAATTACCTTCCATAAGAATCTTCAATTCGGTTAACGAAAAAAAATTTGATTAACCAAATCCTTACGAAAATCACGTTTTGTTTTGAGCATCAGCTGATAAGCTGAGGAGGTTCTCAGCCAATTCAATAATCTCCTCTATGTTTACATTCGTTTCCAATGGAGTAAATATCAAGAAAATTGTGCTCTTTATTATTTGTGCATTTTTTTATAGTACAGTCAACCCTCACTTTACGCGGTTAATACAACCCACAGGGTACCGTGGAAAGTGAGAAACGCGTAAAGTGAACAACATAACATATGGGATTAATTGAAATAGAGACCGGCTGACCCCCAAACTCCACTTTTTGACGACACACCACTATGTTGTAGTAAA